AATAATAATTGTAAGCAACCCACGTAATCTGGTGTTTGATAAGCATTAATCATATGTAGATAGATTGAAAACCAATAAAATGTATTTTTTTTAAAAAAATGGAAGTGGCTACATCTCCAACTTTGAAAAATGGACACAGGGGTGGTATTAAATGATGGTGGCGGCAAATGACCTTTTTAAATGGCAAATCACTACTCCCAGGGGCTTCTCATGGACAGAAGAGGGCCAAGCCCCACACAATGAGCTTGGGGGGGGCACATGCAACAGAAAGCAATCATCTGCCTCCTTCAAATCCCTGTTGGAAGTGGCTACATCTCCAACTTTGAAAAATGGACACAGGGGTGGTATTAAATGATGGTGGCGGCAAATGACCTTTTTAAATGGCAAATCACTACTCCCAGGGGCTTCTCATGGACAGAAGAGGGCCAAGCCCCACACAATGAGCTTGGGGGGGGCACATGCAACAGAAAGCAATCATCTGCCTCCTTCAAATCCCTGTGTGTTCCCCATGCCACAGCGGCGCTCCTGTTCCACATGTGATCATATTATTAAGGAAAGTGTTGGGAGATGCTACAGCATCATCTCCTCCAGTTCAAAGCCATGCCAAGCCTGGAAGTTTTTTTTGCTTCGTCTTGTTTCTTGCTGAGCTGGTCCTGCCTGGAGAGGAAACCACGGATTACCCATCTGTCCCCCCAGGATGGCATCAAAAGAAGTTGCTTTTCTGCCAAGTCTATCCCTAATTGAGGGTTCCAGATGTGCCCCTAGATGCAAGCACATCAACACAGGCAGGCAGCTGCAAAGGAGCCAGCCAGGAAGAGGCAGGCCAACCCTGCAAGTTGAAGCACATCCGAGACCCAGCAGGCTGCTGGCTGGGCACAGCTGGGGCTGTAACAGAAGAGAACCAGGGAGGATCCGGAGGAAGAAGGGAGCTCAGCCCTGGCACAGCCCTTTCCCAGCTTCTCAACCGGGGCTGCTTTATTTTTAGCCCCGTCTCATACCAAAGCATCGACGGCAGACGATGGAACAACAATGCATTCATTCCCTCGGCCACCCATTCTCCGCCTCTGTCCGTTCCCACGTTACCGCCTCGCGCCCCAATAATTTTGCAAGCTGCTTGCAAGTGAAAACGCAAGAAAACTTAAGGACCTTTTCCTTCCCCCCCCCCCTTATCTCTCTTCACCGCCCTTGTATTAAAGGAGTATATCGTCACCCTGGAGAAACGGATACAGACGAGGATGTGGGGGAAATCCCCTAGGTGAGAAACGGAATCATCCCCATCGAAAGAAATGGAGAGGGGGGGGAGAGAGGGAAAAGACAGCACACACACCCCCCTTGAGCACTCACCCTCCGCCTGCCATCTGGGTGTCCAGAGAATTAACGCTGCTCATCCGCTGGACGCGCCACGACCTCCGGCGCCTTTGGAAGAGGCGGCGAAGGTTTTTGTAATCCAAGGGGGTTCGGGGAAACGGAGGTGGGACCGGAGGAACTCCCGGGGGCCACCAAAGATCTGATGCCGGTGACAGGGGCAGCGAAGGCAAATGTTGCTCCGGTGGAGGACAGACAGCAGCACTCTGGCAACGGCAGATTGCTGTTCTCTCTCTCTGTATGTTTTTTTTCCTCTCTCTCTCTCTCTCTCGTCTTCTTGCAACGAAGAACAAAACCCGGCTGCAAATCCAGCGGCACCGCTTCTTCTGCCCAAGGCGGGCGTTTGCAGCTGCACCGAAGGGAAGGAAGGGGTGGAGGGGAAGAGGTTGCAAAATGGTGTGGCACTCGCCGAAGTTGGCGGAAAGGGCGAGGGGCAGAGCGAAGCACCGCACGCCGCAGAGCGCGGGGCTGCCTTGGCCCCCTCGGCCGGCCGCGGGGAGAAGAGCGAGCCTTCCCCGGGCTGGTCCGCCCCTGCCTCGGCGACGCTTGCGCACAGCGGAGCGCTTGGGTCAGCTGGCGTGTG